GGGGAACGGCTCCGCTCCCGCGGAAGAGGCGCGCCGTGGAGCGGGCCGCTTCCCGCCCGCCGCGGGGGGAGAAGCGGGAGGTGGCGGGGCCTGGGGCGGCCTCACGCGAGGCCTTGTTTCGCGGGGGGGGAGAAGAGGCTGCTGCCTCCGGGCTCGCCGTTGTACCCCCCTCCCCGGGGTCTTTCTAGGTTCTCTGTCCTTTTCTACTTCCCCCCCTCCTTGTGCTCAAAGCGCTGTCCTCCCCGCCTCCTCCCACCAACACCGCACCCTCCCGTGACCTCCCCCAGTAACTCGCCTTCATCAACCCCCCCAGCAAAATCAGATTACCGAGTTCCCAAAAAATACTCTCCGCGTTCTTAAACTTGACATCTGCCTCCTCCATACCCAGTTCGTTTAAACTTAGACTGTCCTTTCGACTTGCCTTTCTGCTCTCAGTTTTTTTAAATCCCGAGCTGCTTTTCCAGCTGCTGTACCACGTCTGAAATTGCATCGGCTGCAGGGAAGCCGCCCACCTTCACCTGCGGACCCTGTTCCCAGACAGCGCTGCGGAGCTGTGTTGTCCTTTGACACCTTGCAGGAGTTCTGCCCGACGCTTGACATAACATTGTTTTACTCTTTCACCTTTATCCTCTTTGATCTCAGGTTGCGCCTTGGATTTTATGAAACATTCTTCTCCAGTCTCTCAATAAAACATTATCTGGTGCGCTGCTCTCGTTCAGGTTTTTTGTTCTCTTTGTTGCTGGTGGGTGCTATTCTGAAACATTGTTTTCACAGAGGACAGGTGTGCCGGCAATTTTTAAATCCATTTCCTTGCCCAACTGCACTTCAACCTCGAGTTTCTTCCATTTCATTCTCAGCTATTTTTAGTTCTACCATCCTTAGCCACTGCTTCATTTCTTTCAGTACAGTCTCCTTGTATAAACTTGTGTTTTGCCTCCTTTTTAAGCTCTTCTGCTTCCCTTGTTTCCTGTGTTTTTTAACTCTCATAACTTTGCTTATGGATTTCTGAACCATTTCTCCTCATCTCTTTGTGTTTGAACTACTGCAATTTACAGAAATTGCTATTTGAGATTATACTTATGAGTTGTATAGTTCATTATCTCTTTTGATCTTAAGTGGTACTGTATATTTTGTACTGTACATTTGTGAATAATTAAAAACCCAGCTAATTTGTTGGGGAAATACTTTCCTGCTCCTTGCCAATTGGTGATTGGACCATGCCCTGCATCAAGAATGTCCAAAGTTCCTGTTAAAAAGTTCATTCTTACTCCATTATAAGATACTCTTTTATTAATTCAAATAACCTGACCTTCCTGATATCTTTGGCAGTATTATGGGGAATAGTTTTAGATTATAAATTTTTATTTGTAGCTTTTAATTTTTCTTTCTTCATTTCTACTATTTACTTATTATTGTGCTGTTTGGAAAAGACAGCATGGAACCCTTGCTCTCCCATCTGCAGTTTGTGCCTGTTTGATTGCACAGTCTCAACCTTGCAATACTATTTGAATTGGGAAATATGATATTTCTAATAATTTTGTTGTTCGTTCACCCCTGTGTAACCTCTAGGTCTATTTCTGCCATTTCCTCTTGCAGCTAGCACAGACAAAAATAATTTTTGTTCTTCAGAGCCGGGTTCTGGGTGGTTTGTTCAGCCTTTACTCTTTGGTTGATGGGTGATGTCATTCTGTTTTCATTCATACTGGTTATTTCTTCAACTGTAATCTCCCTTCAAGCAGATTTTCAGGAAAATAGTCTTACAGATCTTTGTCTGAATCCATTGCATTACAGATGTGTAATGTGAGAGAATCTAGAATATATGAATCCAAGCCAGTTTGCTCATCTAGCTGCTTGCCTGGCTTCCTGTTTGGCAGGGCACATGTGCCACTAACTTCACAAAGGGGCAAGAAAGAAAAGAATTGTCCTGCTATCCTGTAGAGGAAGCACCTCTGGCAGACTCAGTCCTCTACTGAATCCAAAGTAATGCAGTTTTTACTTCATGTGATGTCTGAAGTGGGATACTGAGATCTGCTCCTGGCAGTCTAAGAAGAGCGTGTGCTGTCTGGCTGTAGCACATGCAAGACAGGACAGGAGGTTTCCAAAAGGACTGGAAGCAGGGTTAATCCAAAGATTTCTCTTCTGCAAGAGCTCTTTCTTTATTCTGTGCCACCAGGGCCCCTATGGTTGATTTTTTTTTTCCCTGGTGAATTTAAACAATTAAAAAGGATAAGAAAGGTTGAGAAACTGTATCTGGAAGGATCTGCTACTGAGGTTTTCTGGATCAGCCAGGAGCAGAGCTCTTTTTACTGCAGAAACAACCAGTTTGCTTAATTATGAGGATTTTAGACCACCTTCCTTCTGAACTGATAGGGCAGAAGGGTGACTCTGCCCTGGAGACATGTCAGTTAATGCTGATCTAACGCATTTCCAGGGTGTCACCCTTCGACTCCTCTCTTGTCTACTGCCAGAATCACACCAGCAATCAGACCGTATAACGTGCAGGACTGTGAAGAGGGTGTAAGCTTTCGTGGTGCAGTGAGGTGGTACTTTGAGGCAGAGTCCCTGCCCTGCTGGCACCCAGCTGTGATTATGATAGCAGATCTAAAAATTACTGCGGTTAATACCAAAAAGCAGTTGGTCTATAGCGGTGCTGATAAGGCCTCGGCTGGAGCACTCTGTCTAGTTCTAGGCAAGAGACATCAAAGAAAGGTGCATACCAATTGTTGGCTGCTGGGGGGAAAAAGGAGAAAATAAGCAGAGATTTAGAAAATATGACTTGAAGGGAGGTGAAGTTTAATTCATCTAAAAGAAAGGAAAAAAGACTTAAGAGTTAGGTCCTCAGAAAAACAAAGGATGGTGGAAAATACAAAGATTAAGCTGTTTTCCTTGTCCACCACAGAATAAACTTAGAGATAACAGGTTTAAGTTGAAACAGTGAAGATTGAGGTCAAACATTAGAAAATGTATCTGTGTGTTTCACTGTCCTGAGACATTACACAGGGAGATTTGGCCTCTGTAAGGAGTGACTAAAGAAATAGGGCTCGACTCCTTTAGGTCTCTAAAAGTCTTGTCTGCTAAAACAATATGGCAATGCCATTGTTTTGTTCAGGGCTTTTCTATTGGGTTGGGGTTGGTTTTTTTGGTGTTTTGTTTTGGGTTTTTTTTAACGTTGTTTAGTGTAATAAAATGGCCAAGGAAACAGTGTATCTCTCAGATATTTTAGGAAATTATCATCATCTTCATTGTACAATTTAGGGAGAAGATTAAAACCCAGATATGAGAGGATATTCTGGGACTCGATCCCTGTTGATACTTTAAAAAGTTGAACACACAGTACTTGTATAGATTTAGCATGTAAAATGATTTCCCCAAAATCTTTCACAAGATCCCCAAGAGGACTGGTAATTCAACAACCTGCCAATCCTCAGTTCAGTTCTGTTGTCACAAAATTACATGGATAAAGTCTCCTTGGGCCAGGGACAGAATTTTCTGGTTTTATTAACATGCTGCATATGCGAGCCTGATGTTATGTATTAAATATCCCTTTTCCAGACTTTGCTTCAACTTTGTGATGTCTTCCCCTGAAATTGCTTCCCTTTCTTGGGGTCAGATGAAGGTGAAAGGCTGCTCTACAACATATAAGGACTGCAAAGTATGGCCAGGAGGAAGTCGAACCTGGGATTGGCGAGAAACTGGAACTAATGTAAGTTTGCTGTTTACTATCCATCCTGCATTTTAAACTGGAATCAGAATGGTCCAGACAAGAGTTGTTAAGGTTCCTGCCAGAAATTTAGTGGGCTGCCTTTTGCTTTCATCCAGCTGTTAGACTTTTCCTGGGAAGGACTGGGTGTGTGTTTTAGAAGTGAGAGGTCAGAGGACGGCAGCCACACAACGTCCTACAGCTGCCGGGTGTAGCAGCTATTGCCACCAGTCCTCACAGCCACCCTGACCCAGAGCACTCTCACACATCTTGGAGCTCTCAAACAGCATTCCGTGTTTGATTAAGAGTGCAGTTGTCATAAGACACTGGTAACAGCCTCTTCTTGGACTGCATAAGCAAAAGTTGTCTTGAGTAAAATAAGAAAAAAAATTTATGGGAAGTTAAAAGAAATCAACAGTGACTGACCCTATGTGCTTGGAAGACAACAATGCATGTGGTTTAGTTTATATCCTTTTCCTTGGGGTCCCATATACTTACTTCAGAGGAAAAATATGCAGATCAGTGTCATATGCACTAGTTTCCCTGTGAAAAGCTCACAGTCTGGCTAACCACACAACGACTTCTCTTGGTAGCCATATACTAAGCGCTTGCCCTTGCAATTTTTACACTTTATCTGTAAATGCTATCAGAATTGTATGAAAGTACATGGAACTATATTGATGTTCTGGTTTTAGAAGCAGTATAATGTCTACCACGTTAGGAACCTGATGCTGATAATTCTCCCCATATTAGGGCTTGCACTAGGATAGCTGTATTGACTAGAAAAATAAAATCCATACTTTCTAAGCAAATGTTAAAGCACAAAAAAACCCCTACATACTGATCAGGTCTTATCCACGCAGAGGATACAGCTTTGTTGAATTCATTTTGACACAACTGAAGGGCAAAAATATTTGGGTTTGGAACTTCATCTATGATTTTTGGAGGAACAGAACCTTTTTAAGCTGTAAGAATTTGGTTTATACAGAGAATATACCGCCAAGAGAAAGCTAGTGCTGTCATGCAAAGATATCTGTACCTTGCAGAGAGAAAGATGGCTCTGTGTCTAACTTTTTTTAATGTATTTAATTTATGGCCTGATTATAAAAAAAAATGAAGTTTTCACTGGCTGTTTGGAGGGAAGGCATTGTGTCGTGAGAGTCACTTTCTGTTTGTTTGACAATATTGTTCTCCTGGTTTGTACGCATGTATCCCTGGAGAAGCAGAACAGATATGGTAGCTGAAAAATTCCCAAATAGTTCCCAGCTCAATCACGTTTTGATATTTATTCAGACCACTTGAAAACTTTGATTTCAAATTATAACCACCATTTAGGAGGTCATGCTTTCCTTTTAAAATTTCTAAAAAGGGGTATCTTCAGGTGACAGGTAAAAGCTGTAAGTCCATAAAAGTCCTTAGAGGAGTCCTCCAAAGGAAAGAAGAAAAGATGAGTCTATATGAATTTAAAACTGGAGGAGGGAAAAAAAAAAATAGTTGGGTCATTTGGAGAGGTGAGTTTTCTGGCATCCTTTTTATATAATCAGGAAGTAAAAAAGTAACTATTTAGGTTTTGCCTTCTATAGGTCACTTTTAAAGCTCCTGCTTTAGGTCAGTTCTGTCTCCCTTGAAGCCATGAGGAGTTAGGTCACTTGCTTTAAAAAGGAATTGCAAGCAACTAATGTGAAAGTAGAAATAAGCTTTTCTAGACTGCATCTCCCAACTCTAGAAGAACTGTAAAAAAGTGAATCCAGTCAGCACTGGAAGTAGTAGGATTCACCAGATGCATCTTCTTCACATTTCTTTACAGTAGACTGCAGTGTGCCTGCTTTCTCTGAGCATGTTTTTCCTGGGGGTAGGTGGAGCTGAAGTTTGGGAAGCAAGCAGTGCTGGTCATGTCCCACACTCCAGTTGGAAAATAAATTGCTTCCTTTCCTTCTCTGCTATCAGACTGCTGCCTAGCACTTAAGTCTTTCATCGAGAAAATTGTATAACTGGCTCTGCAAGGTTCTGTAACTAAGCACTAATAGTTGTATGACCTTAACCCTTGGGGATGAAAGGCAGACTCCATGGCTGGCTGCATTTCAGTGCCATCTGCTCATGGGAGAAGTAGGAATCCTGAAGGGAAGACCAGAGAACAAAACAGGCAAGAAGTTCTGCTGCCCTTCCTCTTTCCCTCCAGCTGTCAAATCAGCAGCAATACAGTTATTCTGTCATGTCACAGCTTTCCGTTAATGACTCTGGTTTCCTACAAAACATGTGGAAGTCCCCACATTGGTGTGTTTTGTGTAACACAAAGTCTTTTGTTCCATGGCTTTGATGTCCCAGGAGTACTTATCACATGACAGCAAACCTCCCCCAGCAATTTAATTATTGTAATTGCAGTAAAACATATACCCGTTCTTTTTGTCAGAGTCTAAAACACCTCAAAAGAAAAGCATTCCCTCTTCTGTCAGAAACATGTACTTGCAGTGATTTGGTCTGAGAAAGCTCTGCATGTGCAGAGTGACCTCTCCGTTCTAGGTGGGGATATCAAATGTAAATGGATTAGGGGGAACATGGCTTTTCCCCTGGCAGCCAAAAGGGCCAGTCGTGTCCTGGGGTGCATCAAGCACAGCATCGCTAGCCGGTTGGGGAGGGTGATTGTCCCCCTCTACACTGCCCTGGTGTGGCCCCACCTCGAGTACTATGTGGGTTTGGGTGTCTCAGTACAAGGACATCAGACTATTAGAGTGTGTCTGGAGGAAGGTGACCGAGATGATGAAAGGTCTCGAGGGCAAGACTTAAGAGGAGCAGCTGAGGTCACTTAGCTTGTTCAGCTTGGAGAAGGGAAGGCTGAGGGGTGACCTCATTGCAGTCTACAACTTCCTCAAGGTGGGGATGGAGAGGGATGTGCTAATGTCCTCTTGCTGATGACCAGCGATGGGACACAAGAAAATAGAAGCTGCAGCAGAGGAAGTTCAGGTTGGACATTAGGAAGAGGCTCTTCACTGACAGGGTGGTCAGTCCCTGGAACAGGCTCCCCAGGGAAGTGGTCATGGCCTTAAACCTGACAGAGTTCAAAGAGCCTCTGGACAATGCTCTTAGTCATATGGTTTAGTGTTGGATGGTCTCGTGAGGAGCAGGGAGTTGGCCTCAATGATCCTCATGGGTCCCTTCCAGCCTGAGATATTCTGTGAGCCTGGAAAACCATAAAGGTGAACCAGCTCTGTCGCTGAAACTTCAGATACCAGCCAGGCTAAAGGCTTTCTTGTGGGATAACTTTAATCCACTCATTGAAAGCATCACTGCCATGGAAGGTTTCACCCACTTTCAATTTCTGGAGGTCATGTTTCAGCTTGAAAAGTCCTGCCTGCTCTCTTCTGCAGGCTGAGGCATTGACAGGGCTGAGAAGACATCTCCAACAGCTTGTGTGAGGCTGCAGCATCAGCTGCTGAAGACTTGGGCAGGGGAAAAAAAATAGGAGAGGACCCAAGGATGTCAAAGAAAAGCTCACTGACTGATGGAGCAACAGAAGCCAAGCATTAAGCTGGTGCTTTGACCTTAAAACATTGAAACAATGTAGTATTTTCTGGAAGTATAGGGGGTAAACCATAAAAAGAACATTCTCCAGAGGTCTAGCATGGAGTTACCTGCTTCAAGTGAGAAACTCATCTCAGTCCTCTAAGAGGACTTAAGAATCCTACCAAAAAAAAAAAAAAAAAGGGAAGAAGTAGTAGTATTTGTGGTTTAAAAAAAAATGCACACCAAAGACGGGCCAAATTTCAGCCACAGGTTGTACAGTATCTTACTCTTGGCCATGAAGAGATACATAGAAATTGAATCCAAGAGGAGAATTAGTGTGACATCATAATGTTTTATATTAACATTACAGGTGTATTTGTGGATTGATATGTTTAAAGCATACCAGTAGTAATGGGGTGTACTTTAAAAACTCAGTCAATGTGCTCTTAAAACTTTCTCTCCTTGAGGGATTTGGTTTCAAATATTCCCTTCTCAAAATTAAAGACAGTGCAGAAATTTAAACTGTTAATGAAATGAAGCTAACTGATATGTTTCAGTCCCCTTTGGTAAATGAGATTTGCAAAGTAAACAAGAGAAGAATTTAGTAATACTAATTATTTGAGGAGCTCTTTGTAATTAAAGTGAGTAAACTTTGGCTTGCCACAGTTTTTATTACAAGAAGATTCTCTTCCTTTGAAAACAAACAGCAGTAAGTTGCATTTTATTGACTTCACTTTAACTTTTCATATTTATAAAATGGTAGTTGTTAGACATAAAGGTCTTAGAAATGTGATAGGCATCTTTTTTATTTTTAACTGTTTAATAAAGAGTGATAATATTGCTATCAATTGATTAATTACTATCCTTCCTATTCATTATTATGTGTCTGCAGAGGAGGGTTGTGTTACATTTTAGTACTGCTAATTTGCTCTGCTACTCTGTGGACAGTTTCAAAACACGTAGACGAAGCTTTCCTGGTTGATGCTGTCAGTACACAGACTTATTTTCCTCCCCTGACACTTAGCATTCTCCGGGAGTGCAACCAGCTGACCTTGAAGAAGTTGTCAAGAAGGGTGTTAAAACTCTGGTGATTGGTCGTGGCATGAGTGAGGCTTTGCAGGTAGGTTTTTGTTCCATGAGAAACTAGAACCGTTTGTTTTCCTTCTCCCTCTGATTAGGGGGAAAAAAAAAATTATGAAGCTTTACTAAGAGGAGAAAAATTGAGGATGCTGAATTAGCATGACAGAGTTCCTGTCAGGAGTCCCTCTCTTCCTGAAAGAAACATCATTTGAGCTCCTCTGTATTAGTGTCAATGTCAGGCAGTAAACAGGTCTACGCTCTGCTACAGGAGCAATTTAAACCAGGAGAATTTTTTACAATGTCATTAGTCCCCCCTCTTAGAATACATTATGAACTAGCTCCAGCCTGCTGTAAATACTTTGATAATTAGGCATTTTTGTTACTAACGTTGGCAGGGTGTCATTTCAGCAGATAAACTAGCTACAGAAAGCTCAGAAGTGCTGAGTTTTTCTTCATGAGAAGCAATTCTTTAGCTTTTTGGTGAGTAACACCTTATTTAGATGAATTACCTTTAGCTCCAGTTCTATTTTTGTAAGAAAGGGCTGCATTTTAAACTGTGTTAAGGAGAGATGGGAGGTATGTATATAAAAGTAGCTTTATTGAAGAGAAAAACATTTAAATCGATCTTGGAAATACGTGAGTATATTGTCAGTTTGGCTACTATCAGTTACTTAAGTGCATCTACTAACAGATGGCATCAGTACCTGCTTTTCTTTGAGCCTTACAGTGTGAGGGGAAAAGACTCTAATACTTGCTCTTCCCATTGCCTTTTCTCTTCTGAGGTTCCACCATCTACCGTGGACTATCTGAAGAAAAACGGGATTGATGTGTTGGTCTTGCAAACAGAGAAGGCTGTGGAAGAGTACAATGCCCTGGCTGCTCGGGGTGTCAAAGTGGGGGGAGTCTTCCACTCAACCTGCTGAAGCCTTGCAGCTCGTTCCGCCTTCCTTGACCGCAGCCAAATCAGGGACCCGCCTCTCCACTGAGTCAAATTACAGTCAACAGAGCGTGGACTTCCGTGCCAAGGCATTTGTGTGCTGACAATCTAAAATGCAAGGACAGTTTATTAGTTCAGGATTTAAACAAACCGTGTGTTCGCAAAAAGGGGGCAATAATTGAATTACAGAACCATTTTTATACATTCTTGAGACTGACCTCATCTTCCTCTGAAGACTGTCTGTATCTGGTTACTTAACTCTTTACTTGTTGCCTAAATTAAGACACTAGGCTTTGAATATTTATTAGGAAATGGCCTGAAATTATGTTATTGGCTATTGGAATGCAGCCATTAGATAGATGAGTATAGTCAAGTGGTGGATATGAAGCGATGGTAAATAAAAAAGCAAACCCTGAACATACAACTTTGCCTCCTGCTGGCAGCTTCAGTCAGGATATTGCCTATCCAGATCTGCTTGTGATAATTCAAGAACATCACCTTAATTTAGCACTTTAAAATATTGCATTAAACCTGCAGAAAGAAAAAAAAAAAAAAAGTCTACAGGGAATAAACATAAAATCCGGGCCTTAAAGAATTTTGCTATTGTGAATTGTGAGGATTGAGTTATGCAATATATATCTATTCAAAAGTCCCTACGTGCTTAAAATCATCAGATTTGTCATGTAGATGTTGCAAGATAAAATGTTGATCTTCAGGAAATCAGTCTAAACTGCTGCTAACAAGATGCTGCTAGCAAGCTGGGGATGGATGTGAGAATTCTCACTGCTCATCATTATTTGATGATTTAAACATGGTGCCAACAAGTATATTATTACACTAAAAATTTTAAAAGTTCTCGTAGTTGCCCTCTTCTTGGTGGGCTTCTATTAATATTGCCAGTTGCAAGTTACCTGCTGTAGAGTTCTTTCCCACCAGGCTTGCTAATTCTTGATCTGTGTGTGTGAAGTCTGTGTGTATTAATGAAAGTACAAAGATGACACTATAAAAGCCCCGAGGCACTCCAAGCTATCCAAGTAGCAGCAGAGAGGCTTAGATTGGTATGAGAACACAACTTTCCCAAGACCCAAGAGTAACCCTTCACAAAAATACTATGTTCTTTTTCTGTTTATTTGTGGTAGTAATCATTTAAAACCTTTTATCTGATAAAATACAATGTGGTGTGAAAGCAAAGGGAAAGCGAGTAGCTGAAAAGTTTTATCTTGCAATCTCCTAATTACAGCAATATTTTCTTTTAGTGTAGCTATATTTGAGGCAACATCTTCTCTAAAGCAGCAAGAACTGCCTTTCCTGCCTGCATCTCTGTTCTCTGACCCGGCAGCTGGTATAATGCTCCTCATAAGCACGATGACATTTTTCTGAATAAGCCGCATGGTGTGAAGTGGAAGGTGAACCACTGACCCAGAAGACTGTGGTCATCCCACGGGAATGCCACAGAACCAGTTCCTACCAATCCGCAGAGTGTGAAGACTTTTTGCATTAAATGTTATCTTACCGCGAAGGTGGTTTGACTCTTGATCACAGTCGTATATTTGCATTTTTTCCATGAGATTTTTGGGCCTTAAGGCAGCCTTAAATAGGAAGAGGCTTTGTAAGCCTTTTACTGAGAGAACAGTTCAATTTTTTTCCAAAATGTTGGACACTTCTGAGGTTCAGCTGGACAGGGTGCTGGGCCACTTGTCTAGACAGTGCCTTTGCCAAGAAAATTTGGACCTTGAGCCCCCTCCCAACCTGATATTCTACGATTCTGTGATCTTTAAGTCCCACAGAATGTGCGTTACGGTGTTAGAAGTTGAGCAAACACCTAATCCTTCACCTCCAGGTTTGTTTTTTTCCCCTTTATTTCTATTTTCTTATTAACATGGCACATTAATGATGAAGCCACATTCAAGGAAACTGCTCAGCCTGGGTTCTTCACTTGAGGAAAAATACTGTGGGCTCCTTGCACTGGTGCTCTGTGTTTTGCCCTCCAAAAGGCACAGGAGGAGTGCAGCATTGCCAGGTGACTTGTAGAGGTGCCCTCCCCAGCTTTGTGCTGCAGCCTCTTAATTGTTCCTTTCATTTGGCAACCGGTAGGATATAGAAGATTCCACTTCTAAAACGGGGAGCTGCAGCGTGGAAAGAAATAGATTTCTCTTTTTAGAGGTAAGCTGCTAAGTTTTCCTACCATCTGTACAAAATTTTGGTCTCCACAAGGAGATTATCTGCTGCAAGTCTTTTCCATCCATATCATCTATTCCTGCTCTCGTCACAGCTTCCCGAGTCAGCTTTGTCACTTCCCACAAAAGCTGCTCCACTTGGGCTGCTCCAGTCTCTGAAAGCCCAATTTCCTTCTTGGTGCCTGAAATTGCTTTGCTACATGGTGGAAACAGCTGGGACTGATTCATCAAAAAAAACCCAACCGGCGCTCAAAACGGTATCTTTATTAAATCGCTGCTTTCAGCTAGAGCCATAAATAATTTGTTAGAATTACGGGCTCATCGCCCAAATCGTGGGAATGCACTTTTATAGGGCAGGATTTCTCACATACCCACTTCTCTGCCTCCCACCAGGAAAACGATCTCCTGGCAGGCAGTGAACTCCCACCCTGGCGCTCTCATTAAAGCGGAGCTGGGGCTGGGCTGGGTGCCAGGAGGATCCCACCCCAGCTGCTCCCCACGAGCCGGTCGCTCCCTAGCCCTTATCTTTGTGAAACAGCACGCGGGAGCTGGCAGCCAGGAGAGACAGGCCATAAAAAAGGCTCACAGACACACCGAACGCAGCACCACCAGCCTTTTTAAGGGACATCAGGTGGCATTTGTGCAAAGCTTAGGCCTTCAAACTTTATTTTGAAGCTTTGCTAATATTGCATTAGCAAGCTGGAAAGGAAAAAAGCCTACTCCCCCCTTCCTAGTGCCTGCTACAAAGAATAAACTGGAAGATGTGAGTGAAATAAGATGGAAATCATGATTGTATCTCTGATTCGCTCAAAAGATTTCAGAACTCAGATAAGCAAGACAGGAATCCAGAGGAAACCCACCTCCCTGAGCTGGAACCCAAGGTGATATTGTATGGTCCTGATTTAAATGCTGGCCCTGTTCTGTCATCTTCCCAAGAACTTGATTTGTACTTTTTGCAGAGACTGCACCCACCCACTTGGTTTTTCTGTACTTTTAAAAATAAGATATGTGGAAAAAGCACACCAGGTTTGAGTTAATTAATATCCCATAATCTTCAACTTTGTTCCAAATACATTTATAAATTGTTTTATAACTTGATAATTGAGTTATTTACTTGCAGAGTTCTAAGAATTGGCTTAATGAATTTCAATGGACTTCAGCAATCTGATTATGAATTTCCCATTAAAAGCATTCAGAGCTAGGCTCCCCCTGGCCCAGATGCCGTGTGCAATTAAATCTGAAAAGTTAATGGTAAATAGGACAACACATTTTCAAACCACTAAGCTATATCCCTTTCATGTGAGTTCAGCCTTTTCCTTTCTCTGCCAGATTCTTGATCCGCTTCCCTTATGCCTAACTAGGAGGTAAAATGCAGAGGCAAGAAGTGTTTGAACACAGTTTTTAGCAAATTTTTTGCCCTTACATCTAGGTTGTTCAATGTCCCTGTGGCTGCAGCTCTGAACTGGCACCACGTTCCCACATTCGCAAACATCTGAGAGAACAGAAACTCCCTGTACCCGGGTGGTTGGGATCTGACGGCCTCTGTTCCCTCTTCGACAGAGATGAAAGATGCAAATTGCATTTGTGCTAGTGTACAGCCCTTTGTTTTTCTTTTCATTCTAAGATCAACCATCTTTTAGGCCACTGCAGTGTAGAAACCCCACAGCCAAAATGGAAGGACAACCAGTGAATGGGTAGAGATGTTTCTGAGATGACACAAAGTCCTGGAGCTCCACAGAAAGTGTGAACTCTGGGGTTTTGGAGAGCAGAAAAGCCTAAATGGCTCAAACCTGGGAGTGGGAGGAAAAAGTCAGCATCTAGATTCAAACAACTACAAAAAAAAAAAAATCTCAGAATACTTACATTTCATATAAATTTCCTTTAGATTTCCCCTGTGTTGGAATGGTGTGCAAATGCATTTTAAGGAGAAAGTAAGCTAAAATAAATTGGAGATCAAGGTAAACGGTTTTAAAGAAAAACAACACCAAACCCAAACCACAATCAAAAAAAAAACCAAAACAAAAGCAAACACATCTTCAGTAATAAGAAAAGGAGTAGAGAATATCGGCAAGAGAGGTAGTGTAGTTGCCTGCTACAACAGACGCTGTTTGTAAGGGATGTTGTACCAGGGCCTGTAGCGAGACCACAAGGGGCGATGGTTTTAAACTGTCAGAGGGCAGATTTAGATGAGATTTAAGGCAGAAATTCTTCCCTGTGAGGGGGGTGAGGCCCTGGCACAGGCTGCCCAGAGAAGCTGTGGCTGCCCCCTCCCTGGAAGGGTTCAAGGCCAGGTTGGACGGGGCTTTGGGCAACCTGGGCTAGTGGGAGGTGGCCCTGCCCGGGGCAGAGGGGTTGGGACTGGATGATCCTTAAGGTCCCTCCCTACCCAAATGACTTCATGATTTAATGTTTACTAGTCTGTTTACACACATAGGAGGGAAATCAAAGGTAAATTTGAATCTTGGGAAGAGTACAGTATTAAGGAAACAGCATTTGACATTGAATTTTAAGATCCTCAGTGTTACAGAACTTTTTTTTTTTTTATTAAGTTCAGCTAAAATGATGATTAATTAGTCATCTGCTTGGATAGATAAAACATAAGAAGAAAACAAGAACCTATGATTTCTTCCATGATTTAAAACAGTAATCAGAGAAAAAACAACAGGACCATGTGAAGAAGGGAAGCCAACTATGGAATACTCATTAGGGAACATTTTCATAGCAGTCTTAAATTTTCAAGTGGTTTTAGGCCTCTTGAAATTATGAAGAACTTCTCTGTAGCCCTTCAGTGTTTGGTTCTCAGCTGGTGAAAATACAGAAGGTGAGTGATCTTTGCCTAATGTGTTACATGAAAGGAGCTCAAGCACAGCACGAAAGGAGCAAAATAGTAGAAATTTGTGCCAGTATTCAGGAAAAGAGAAAGATGCTGAGATTTTGATACTGAAAATGGAAAAAAAAAAATTATTTCTAGAAGGGAATTGCAGTTTGGTCATCTAAGGCCTCATAACTCAAACACGGATAACCAGAGAGCAGGCAAAGTACCTTGAGGAAAGGCAGAGTTTACGCCAGACAGCTGGTTAACGTCAGGACCCAGGGGGTTTATCTGCAGGCCCAGAAGGAGCACGAAAACTTCATGGTGCTGCACTGGCAGAGGAGGGTGGCATTCCGGCTGGAGCAGGCCTTCCCTTGGGCCCTGCTCTGCCTACCAAAGCCTCAGT